GTGACTGTGCATAGTCAAATTATTTTTTGAAATAACTGATCTAATTAACAGATCCATCAATAGTGCATTAGTATGCCTATCCTCTCATAATTTCTTCAACAATTCCTCAACAAAAACATCTTGGGTTTTTTTTTCATTCTTTTTTCTGAGGTTCTCTTTGTGATTATTTCAATCATTATTTTTTTTTAAATTATATTTTATTTTTTCCAATTGCCAAAATTTCCCTTTTCCCAACCTTTCCTCCTCAATTGAGAAAATAATGAAAACAAAACCTTGTTATAAACATATATAGTTAAGCAAAACAAATTTATGCACTGATCATGTTTTAAAAAAATATATCTCATTCTGCCCTTTGAGTCCTTCATCTCTCTATCAGGAGGTGGGTAGCACATTTCATCATTACTCCTCTGGAATCATTGTTAGTTGTTATGTTCATTAGAATCCCTAATTCTTTCAAATTTGTTTGTCTTTACCATCTTGTTGTCATTGTATACATCATTCTCTTGGTTCTGTTCACTCACTCTGTACCAGGTCATATAAGTTTCCAAGTTTCTCTGAAACCATCCCCTTCATAATTTCTTATAGAAAAATATTATTCTATCATATTTATATACCATAACTTGTTCAGTTATTCCACAATTTATGGGCAGCCCCACAGATTCCTATTCTTCACTACCTCAGAAAGAATTATAAATATTTTTGTACATCCTTAGAACTTGTTTTGCATAGGACTAATTCCTCCCTTAATCTACTCTCCCTTCTAATTCTTTCTTCTCCCTTCTTTTCCCTCCTATTTCCCTACTGAGTGAAATGTTATTCTGTACCCAACTCTGTGTGTGTTTATATATTCTTCCTTCATTTGACCAGTTCAGATGAGAGAGAGAGAGAGAGAGAGAGAGAGAGAGAGAGAGAGAGAGAGAGATTAAGGTATTACCCAGTCCCTCCCCCCTCCTTCTCCTTTTTTGTATTGATTTTACTTGCACATTATGTGAGATAATTATTCTGATTATGTGAAATAATTTCCACAATCTTCCTTCCCTTTCTTCTCTCTTTCCATTCTTCTCTTATGATCATTAAGAAACAATAGAATCATTCCTAGGCCTTGTGTAATTAATTTTTAAAATTTTTTTTATTTATTAGGCAATTGGGATTAAGTGATTTGCCCAGGGTCACACAGTTAGTAAGTGTCAAGTGTTTGGTCTGAGGCTGGATTTGAACTCAGGTCCTCCTGACTTCAGGGCCAGTGCTCTATCCACTACACCACCTAGCTGCCCCAACTTTGTCTAATTAAACTCCCTTTCTGACTCCTGATGATGATAGGGTTCTGAGAAGAAACATGTATCATCTCCCTATATTTGAATGTAAGCAGTTTATCCTTTTTTAGTTCCTTACAATTATTCATTCATGTTTGCCTTTTATGTTTCTTTTAACTATTATGTATGAACTTCAAAATTTCTATTCAGTTTTCATCTTTTCATTAGGAAGGCTTAAAAATCCTCTATTTCATTGAAGATCCATGCCCTATCCTCTCCCCTGTAGGATTATACTTAATTTTACTAGGTAAATTATTCTGGGCTATAATCTCATATCCTTTGCCATCTGGAACTTCATATTCCAAGCTCTCTATTCCTTTAAGGTGGTGACTCTTAAGTCTTCTTTAATATTGACTGCAGCTCCCTGGGAGCTGAAATTGAAATTTTTCTTTCTGGCCGCTTACAGCATTTATTCTTTTAACCTGGAAGTCTGGATTTTGCTTATAATGTTCCTGGGAGTTTTCTTGGGGATTTCTTTCAGGAGGTGACCTGTGGATTCTTTCTGTTTCCACTTTGCTTTCCAGTTCTGAGAGATCTTTTTGTTTGTCTATTTGCTCATTCTTCTAGTTTACTTCCTAACTTTGGACTTGATGTTAGGGCTAGACTCTGCACACTTCTGGAGTGGTGTTGGCTGGTCCTGTTGCTGCTTTCTTAAAGTATTGAACTTTTTATTATTCTAGGATCTCAGGGATGACTCAGGCTCAGACTCAAGACCTGCATACTTTCAGAATTCCCAAAGTGGTCTGATCCAAGGCAAAGTCTAATTGCTCTCTCTTTGGTCTGAGATCTGCAAGTTCTTGACCTGAGTTTACATCTGAGCAACAGTACACCATTGCACAATTTCACATGTGTAATCAATATCAAATTGCTTGCCTTCAGAGGAGGAAAAAAAGGGTAGAAGGGAGACAATTTGGAATTTTAAATTTTAAAAAATGAATCAAATATTTTTACATGTAATTTGGAAATACTTAATGAAATAAATACAAATATATTGGAAAAAACAGTATATTATTGCTGGACTCAATCATTATTAGTAAGTTGGGAAGCTCTCCTAGTTCAAAGTGACAGAACTATGGGCTCCCCTTTGTATGGGATTCCTGTCCTGATCATTCCTTTTTTTTTTTAGGCAACTGGGGTTAAGTGACTTGCCAAGGGTCACACAGCTAGTAAGTGTCAAGTGTTTGGTCTGAGGCCAGATTTGAACTCAGGTCCTCTTGACTTCAGGGCCGGTGCACTATCCACTGAGCCACCTAGCTGCCCCTGTCCTGATTATTCTTCTGTAGGTTTCAGATTGGTTTAGAAGTTGGAAAAGAAAACCTGCTCTACCACCGGGGTATGAGCCATATTGCTGTGAAATGACTATTAAGCAGTCCTTCAAAATGCGTCATGTTTTGATGTTTTAAGCATCAACTTCCTGAGAATATAACAGTAGCTATTAGCTACTGCTATCTGTTGAGTGATTGTCAGTTCAAGTTTCTGATTTTTTTTTTAAATAAGCATTTCTTCTGTGTGGATGAAATAAACTGAGCCTCATACCTAATTTATGTTGTAACTTGAGTACATTTTTACTTCCCCTTTTGGGGAAGACCCTATACATGAGCCAAATCTAAACTTTAAGTGATTTCCCCCAGGAATTTGGGGTAAAGTTGTAAAGAGCCAGAGTATGAGACCCTGACAACTCTTTAGTGGCCAGGATGCTGTGGATTTATGTATGTGGGTCTAGAGTTGTGTCTCTTTTTGAGCTGGGCCCCAGACAATCTGAGCTCAGTAGCAGTTTTGAATTGTTACATATATATGTTATTTCCCTAAATAGAACGCAAATTGTCTGATGGTAGGGGATTGGCTTAGTTTTGTGTTCTCTGTACCCTCATTGTCTGTTATAAGCACAGGAAGCTTACATAGTAACTTACATAGTAAATTACTTAGTAAGTTACATAGTAAGCACTTAATAAATGCTCATTGACTAGACCAAATGGCAAAAGAGGTCCAAAAAGCCAATGAGGAGAAGAATGCCTTAAAAAGCAGAATTGGGCAAATGGAAAAGGAGGTCCAAAAGCTCACTGAAGAAAATAATTCTTCAAATATTAAAATGGAGCAAATGGAAACTAATGACTCTATGAGAAATCAAGAAATTATAAAACAAAACCAAAAGAATGAAAAAATAGAAGACAATGTGAAATATCTCATTGGAAAAACAACTGACCTGGAAAATAGATCCAGGAGAGATAATTTAAAAATTATTGGACTACCTGAAAGTCATGATCAAAAAAAGAACCTAGACATCATCTTTTTCAAGGAAAACTGCCCTGATATTCTTGAACTAGAGGGTAAAATACAAATCAAAAGAATCCACCAATCATCTCCTAAAAGAGATCCCAAAAGGAAAATTCCCAGGAATATTATAGCCAAATTCCACAGTTCCCAGGTCAAGGAGAAAATATTGAAAGCAGCCAGAAAGAAACAATTCAAGTATTGTGGAAACATTCAGGATAACACAAGATTTAGCAGCTTCTACATTAAAGGACCAGAGAGCTTGGAACATGATATTCTGGAGGTCAAAGGAGATAGGATTACAACCAAGAATCACCTACCCAGAAAAACTGAGTGTAATCAATGAGGGGAAAAAATTTAAATTCAATGATGTAGAGGAATTTAATGCATTTTTGAGAAGCCAGGCCTAAACAGAAAAAATTGACTTTCAAATACAAGACTCAGGAGAAGCGTGGAAAGGTAAATGGGAAAGAGAAATCATAAGGGACTTATTAAAGTTGAACTGTTTACATTCCTGTGTGGAAAGATATTTGTAATTCATGACACCTTTTTCATTATTAGGGTAGTTGGAAGGAATATGTATATATAGACAGAGGGCACAGGGTGAGTTGAATATGAAGGGATGGTATCTAAAAAAGAAAATTAAAGGGTGAGAGAAGAATGTACTGGGAGAATGAGAAAGGGAGAGGTATAATGGGGTAAATTGTCTCACATAAAAGAGTCAAGAAAAAACTGTTACAGTGGAGGGGAAGAGGAATGAGTGAATTGTACTCTCATCAGATTTGGCTTAAGGAGGGAATAACATACACATCCGATTGGGTGTGGAAATCTATCTTACCCTACAGGAAAGTAGGGGGGAAGGGGATAAGAGAGGGAGGTGTGATAGAAGGGAGGGCAGATTGGGGGAGGGGATAATCAGAAGTAAACACTTTTGAGGAGGGACAGGGACAAAGGAGAGAGTAGAATAAATGGGGGCCGGGATAGGAGGGAGGGAAATATAGTAAGGCTTTCACAACATGACTATTATGGAAGTGTTTTACATGACTACACATGTCTAACCTATATTAAGTTGCTTGCCTTCTCAATGAGCGTGGGTAGGGAAGGAGGAAGGTAGAAAATTTGGAACTCAAAGTTTTAAAAACTAATGTTAGAAATTGTTTCTGCATGCAACTGGGAAATAAGATACACAGGCAAAGGAGCATAGAAATCTATCTTACTCTACAGGAAAATAGAAGGGGAAGGGGATAAGGGAGGGGAATAGAAGGGAAAACAGGTTGGGTAAAGAGGGAATCAGAATGCAAGTCATCATGGGGTGGGGGGAGGGGAGGGATGGGGAGAAAATTTGGAATTCAAAATCTGGTGGAAGTGAATGTTGAAAACTAAAAATAAATCAATAAACTGGGGGAAAAAAGAATATTACATTTAAATCCCTTTATTTTTGAGGTTCTTTCAAAGTCAAAGTACCTGTAAGAATCTGTGGCAGGAAAAAACAAAGCCCAACTACGGAGAGTATTTTTTCAGTCACAAAATTACAATATTCAATAGATATATTTTTAAAAGGCAGTTTTCATTGTACCCTTCCTTTGACCTAGTCCATGATGGAAAAAATATCTTGTTTACCACAGGATTTCCTAAATCGATTCAATTCAATAATAAACAAACATTTATTAAATGCCCATATTAGACAAGGCAATGTGATATTCAATTTAATCACAAGAATGTTATTTGCTTTAGTTGTACAATGTCCCACCCAGAGAAAGGAAACCTCAAAAACAAAGAATAAAAACAAAACCCCACAGACCTGGAAGAATACAGTATTGTACTGACTTGGCAGAAAATTATGCTGTGTATCTCCATTCCCCTTTCAGAGTTTCAATCTCCAGTAGAAATTCTGACCATTAAGCTAACTTAAAAAACCCATTTCCTGGAAGACTGTTGTCCTGTGAGTCAGTGACTCACTTTTTTACCAGCCAGACCTCATTACGTCTTCCATAAGGCTTCATGGGAGGGTCATATCCAGCACAGAAGTAGAAATCAGTCTGGTAGTTTGCTGTTCCTTCCAGGGCTGAGCGTAGCTGGGCTGCGTGAGACACATAATCAGCTTCTTTAGCATAACCACCAAACTGCCTGTGGGAAGAAAAATGATGAAAGGCTGTGTTGAGAAATGGCATTTACCAGGTCTGACAACCCAGGGGAGGAGGGATCTGGGCTCACACTTTGCTATTTTTAAGAGAAATATGGGACGTGTACCTCCCAAAATTCTATAGGGAGCTGCCAGGATTTTTTTGTTATGGTCTCTGTTAACCTCATGACCATAGCCTTTCACTGCTCTGTCTCCTCTAATACTTCCTTTAACTCAGCTTCTCTTCCTTCTCTGCCTCTTTCCCCAGCCATCTGTGGGCACCAACTAAAAAGAAACAGCTGAGGGAAGTGAACCCAGAGCTCTAACAGGACCAAATCATCCCTTTTATTCTCTAAGTGCGAGCTTAGCAGCTAAGATTCCGACCACCCAGCAGTTCCAGACCTAGAATCATGGATTAACAGCTGGAAGGGGCTTTGAGGGCATTTGTTCAATTCCCTCAGTTTATAGATGAGTTATATGGTGATTCACTTCTTTTTAAAAGAACCTATACAATCTGAATATAGTCATGAATTAAGGTTCTGTATATACTTTATAGCATACTCTCCTTAAGAATGAAAAAAAATAATTTATAGTAATACCTCATAGAAGGACATTTCCTGAATCAATTTTGTGGCCAAAGGATTGAGAAAATATGGTGAGTTGAACCTTCCTTTTCTGATTATTGCTGCTCTTAACCTGTCTCCTACTTTAAATTCTCTCCAGTGGCCTAAGTTTATCATATCAGGTATAGGGTTCTGCCTATTCCCTGAACAACTCTCATAGGAATCAGGAGAAATTTGTATTTCCAGTGAGCTTTTATGACTCAAAAGTCCATTTGCACTGAGCAAATTCTCGTCAGATGCATTATTTTTGGTGGAGCTCATGTTTTCTCTCTCTCTCTTTTTTACAAGTGGTTAGTCATTTTTAGTAAGAACTCAACAATTTGATTATAAAAACACCCAATATTTCATCTTTAAGGGAATTCATTATTTTAACATTTGGGCATGGTTGGCAATCTTAGAATATTATAATCTCTGAGAAATTAGGTTGGGGGGGGCAATGGAAAGATGTATGGTGAATGTAAGTGACCACAGCATATTTCCAATGATGACCCACATTCATGTCACCACCAAGAAAATATAGAATCAGAAAATGAAGCAGGCTGTTTGTGTGTTACAAGTAAGGGATGGACAGCTTCACTGTTAGTTTTGAAATGGAAAAAGACTCAGAGAAGGTGGTTCTTAATCTGGGGTCCACAGATTTCAGGTGGCCCATGAAATGGAATTAGAAAAAATTATATTTTTATTTTCACTAACCTCTAATAGAAATTTAATATTTTCTTCAATTATGAATATAGGCTACACATATTATTTTGAGAAGGGTCCCATAGTAGGGTTTACCAAACTGCCAAAGGGGTCCATGACAAAAAAAGTTAAGAACCCCTGATCTAGAAGTCATCGACAAGCATTTTTAATGCTTTAAAGACATTTAAATGTCTACTATATTCCAGACACTGTACTGAGTGCTGGAGGTGTAAAGAAAGGTGTTTCAACACATTGGTGGATGCTTTCTTGAGGATCTATGGATAGACATGGACAGGAATGGCATAGGCCATAAAAGAAGCTTTAGAGTCAGAGATCTTGGGTCAGAGATCCTGCCTCTGAAGCTTCCTACCTGTGTGACCCTAGGCAAGTCACGTAATCTCCATGGATATTAGTGTCTTCATCTGTAGAAGGAAGGGAATGGACTAGATGACCTTGAAGGTCCCTTCTACCTCTAATCTAAGACCCTATGGGCGAAATGCTATTCAATGGAAGGAATACATATCCAGTGACATATTGAAGTAAAGTTTAGATAGCAGCTACAGAATATATACAGAGTTGACATTATTTCCCCCACAGAGTAGTAGAAGAAATATATTGTGGATGAGGGCAAGTTGATGTTTATCTTTATTTATGAAATAACACAAGAAAAATGGACCTATATGGTTTAGTGATTCTGAAGGGAGACTACACTAACCATAAGGTAAAATACTGGAAATGCTTTACCAGCAATTATAGAATTCAAAGTAGGGTAGAACTTTAAAGGTCATCTAGTCCAAAGGATGCCTGATGCCTTATATCCTCTAAGATCTCTGATAAGTTGTTGCTCAGGCTCTACTCTGAACACTTTCAGTCATGGAAGAAATGGCTATGATGACCTCAATTGATTTTAAGACAGCCCGAATTGTTAGACAGTCCTTCCTTATATTGAACTGAAATAACCTCTCAGAAACTACCACCTATTGGTCCAAATTCTCTTCCCTAGAGTCAGAGCCTTTCCCACTTAGAAAAACATACCAGAATTTGTTCCCTGTTAGCACAGCCTTCAATTACTCAAGTTTACCTTTATGCCATGAAGAGGTATCAGAGAAGGGCTTTGGTGGAGGATTTTTAAAAATGTTATTTATTGGGGCAGCCAGGTGTCATAGTGGATAGAGCTCTGGCCTTGGAGTCAGGAGGACCTGAGTTCAAATCTAGCCTCAGACACTTGACACTAGCGGTATGACTCTGGGTAAGTCACTTAACCCTAAATGCCTCACCAAAAAAGCAAAAAAAAATATGTTATTTATCATTATGAAATTGATTAAAAATATAATTAAAGACCAAAGTGAACTCATGTTCACATAAGAAGACCATCTAGTAATTAGCAATTGTCAATAAACAACAGTATAGCAATACTGTATACTTAATGATCAAACCATAATGTGCTAAAACCCAGATAGTAAGTGAATTACTTAAACATTTCAACAACAAACATTTCTGGCTGTATTTTTCTTCACTGTTCAGCTCCTTGGAACATGCATCTTATTTAGAGTTCTCATAGCCACATTATGAAACTAAACTCATTATAAATAGGACTTTTAAAATTTATCTCTGGACTTGATGTTATCTATATAAATAAAGGATCTGTGGTTTTATTCTAGCATAGTGTAGAAATTCTCTCATCCACTTCAGATTCCACTTCATCTATGATTTAGGAGCTAAGTCCTACTGAGGCACTTAAGTCTTGCAGAGGTTAAGAGACTTGCTCAGGGTTACACAGTTAGTAAGTATCAAAAGCATGATGTCAACTCAGGTCTTCCTGTCTTGAAGTCAAGCACTCTGTTTACCACATCAGGTTGCCTCTGCTTAAGAATGTAGAAATTTCTTATGGCTCCACCTCACAAGCATACCATCCACTAATTGCCAACCAAGAAAATACCCTGTCCCGTATATTACTGGCTTCCAAATGCAAACCAGCAATCTTTGAAAGCAGCAGGAAGTTGCATAAATGTCATTCAGCACTTGTACATGAAAGGAGACCCAATTGTGCTGCTGACTCAGCTTATGACGATCTTGGACAAGTAATTTCACCCCTCTTTGCTTCCAGTGTATAAAATGAGAATAATAGAGTACCTGTTCCTTTCCTAATTAATGAAGATGTTTTGAGAGTAAATTAGATAATGCCTGTAAAGTTCTTTGAATTCCTTGAAAGAAATATATACATACATACACATATAAATTACAAGGCATTATTATTTATGCCTGGTTAACAGGTCTATAAATCTTCTTCAAAGATGTTTTCATGGATCATTCTACTTCACCTGCACCAATGTCATAATCCAGTGTGAATAACAAATAATTCGGTGATCAAGGAAACCAAGGAAGAACACAAAAGTCATAGATTTGGAAACACAAAGGCTAAAAAGATTGACTAAAAAGAAAAAGCCAAGACAGATATTGCTGAGAAATAAAACTCGATCTTACGAGAGAGAGGTAATAGTAATTGGTGGAGGTTAAGGCCAGTGGCAATAAGAATCATATCCAGGGTAGGAGTAGAAGTGCAAAAGAAAAAGAAATGTAATGGAGGAAGCATGACACAATGGAAAAGATGCTGAACTGAGAGTTAGACCTGAGACCTGGGTTTGAATCCCAGCCCTTGTTGAAATTCCAGCCCTACTACTGTCCACCTGTGTGTAGAGTGAGTTGGGCTAGGAGATCTCTAAGGTTCCTTCCTACTCTAAATCTATGATCCCAAGTTCCTTAACTAGAATCCCAAGAATGACTTCCCCATACCAACCATTCCAATGTTAATTCTTCCTATACTTGTAATTATTAATCAAGAAATTTTTAGGAAGCACCCACTCTGGAACAAGACACTGTAATAAAAGTACAAGATTTAATATCTATCCTCAAGGAACATTCAATCTAGTTGAGAGATTAAGGTGAATATATGATTAAATGCCAAAATTACTGGAACAGACACATCAGATTTCATTGAAACATTTGCGATCACTGTGGGGGCCATGCTAGTCAGGAAAGGTCTCTTGTAGGAAGTATGACCTGACCTAGAATGAAATAGTTGTTCTCATTCTAAAAAGGAATTAAGAATTAATGGGAGATACCTGAACAGGAAGTTTTTACTGGTTACTTTGCTTTTGTTGATTACTAGAAAGCCTTTCATTCACTTCTACATTCATGGCTTAGTCATTTACTGCAAATATACAAAATGGATCCAAGCATAGTGAAAATAAAGTAGTGCATCTAATGTTCACATAGGAAATTGTCCTCTATTTAAAAATACCACTAAAAATAATGTCAAGAACAATTGATATCTATAACCTGGTATCTTCCAGGGAGACAGTTTAAGCTTGCTATGGTTCTGCCTAACTTTAAACTTCTTATCATCATTTCTGAACAGAACTGAGTTTGACTTTCAAGTCAAAGAGTCATAACAAATCCTATTAGTCACTTGATATGCATGGATGACATCAACTTACATGGCTTCGCTGAAAAACATATTAAGTAGCTAATGTATCATATGGAAACTTTCTCCAACGATATCAAAATGTCATCTGGACACAGTAAGTGTAAAATTCTCAAGCAAGGAAAGATAAGAGACTGAATATTTGGAGAATGAATTGGGAGAGGTCACATAGAACCAATAAATAAAGGCAATACCTCCAAAGACCTGTCGGAGAATC